TGCCACCTGCGTTTTGATGCCCGATTAATTTACAGGCACTCCAGTCCAAAGAAGGGACCGATTGTATAATAATATTAATAATTTCAAATATTATGTTCTAGCATTAGATGGAACATCAATTTCTCAGATTTTCATTCCTTTCTAGTGAATGCAGGACTACCTCACGTCCGTCGGACATTTTGATACTTTGGATTTTGGAAGTTAATACAAGGCCACCGCCCCAGCTTCAATATTTGTCTGGTCCATTTTGTCTTAATTTATTATATAATCATTTAATAATTTATATAAAATAAAAATTTCAAGCTAAATATTCAGCTTCTTCCCATTAAATTCTTACACGCACTTTCAATTTCCCTGTCAGTTCTCACACAACAAAGGGTCAAGTCACCCCAAAGAGTAGGGTGGACTCAAGTTCGATTTTGAATTTTTCGGTTTTTCTAAATTTATATTCATAAAAAATATTTTAACTGATGTGATATTATATTTGATACGTAAATTGTCTTAACTCAGTTGGACGCCAACCAGGAACCTTTTCACCAGCCCGGAGCTCCGATGACCTACAATACGTCGGGATAAGTCCCGACGGAAAGCCTCCGCGCTCAAGTCAGTGTTTATTCGAAATGAGATTAATAGTATGTATGTACTCGCGTGTGCGCGTAGGTGTGTTGTGTAATGTAAAGAATATGGATACCTTTATATACTTCGGGCATGTTTGCTTTCCTATATGAGATTAGATTAATTTAATCTTGAGAGGCAAGATTGTACTGTAGGTTAGATTTGTCATTTGTGTGTTGTGTAAGACTAAATTTTAGGTGGTGGTGGTGATTATTTTAATCTTGCATTTGTTTGGTATGACCACACAGAAGATAAAATCTAAATTTCCATTTTTACCCTGACATACTTTTTCCAATAATTGTATCACATTTTAATTGGTTTTAATCTGGATTTGTAAAAAGAATTAAATATATAATACATTACAATATATATAATAACAATTAAAATTTAGTAGGAAAAATGTTACAAAGCTGACATTTCATGAAAAGATCTACAAAATATAACTAGCTTTATAAGTATATAATATAATCACAATACAATAAATCTTTTTTTCTTTTAAAAAAAATTAAATCAGAAGTTGTAAATATTTTTGCTTTAGACAAACATAATTTTAAAATATAATTAAAAATATCATTTTCGACAAAACTAGTGTAAAAATATGAGTGTCATTTCGAAATAATAATCACTTTTTTAGTAAATATGAGTGTTATTTTGAAATAATTATCACTTTTTAGATTTTTTTTAAACGGTAGAATATTATAAAGCCACAGGCAAAGGAATATAGAGTACAAGCCATGCTACAAGTTTGTAGAATAGGAGAACGCTTAAGCAAACGAACTAGAGAAGATGAAAAAATAAAACCAAGCTAGAAGACTAAGAAACCGACAAATAGAACGTCAATGAACCCAATACTAGTCCTTTAGCTCAACTGCACTAGAACACAAATCCCTAGCACAAACAAAAGATAGATCAATTTTTTGAAATAATTATCACTTTTGTAGTTAATTGTTAATATTGTATATTCATTATACATAATTTCATACCAAAAATTTAAACTATTTTAACTTTTGTACTATAAAAATTTTAATATATATTTAATTACTCGATTTTTCTACGAGCCAAATTTTTCAAATTTCAATATATTTAAATGATATTTTTAAATTACTGTAAAAAGTCTTCAAATTTCAATATATTTAAATGATATTTTTAAATTACTGTAAAAAGTCAGCTTGTGAATTTGCAAAATGAAAAATCCGGCTTGTGAAACGAAATATATCTACAAATTTTAACATATTTTAATTACAAATTATATGTTGATAAAAATGTCTTTTTGGAGAACGATAGCGATATTTTTTAACTGACGGCGAACGGTGGAATTTTTTGAGAAGACGACTGGAGCGGATGACGGCGAACGGCGGGAACGGAGCTCAAGGCGGCGGCGAACGGGCTGAGATTTTTGGAGAAGACCACCGGATTTGGAATACTATAATGATTGGATATCATTTGGAAGGATGTAGTAAATGATAGGGATATCATTTGGATATGTTATCATAAAAACTAGTATTTGCACATGCATTGAATCCAATAAAATATTACAAATACATATAAATATTATATTTAAAATCATAAATTATATAATGGGTATAACATCTTTTAATAATTTGATTATTAATAAAAATAAACAATATAATTATGAACTAGTTTACTTATATACGAAGCAATATATAGATTGCATAAAATATAATGAATAATGTTAATTTTACAAGTTTAAGAGATCATGACCGATTAATTAATTGAAAAAAATATTAAGCATTTGTTATTATAATAATCAGTTGCGTGATTTTAATGGATTTGCTATGCTATTAAAACCAATTCGCTATTCAAATATTTGATTAATGAGATAAAGATAAAAAGATAATATTAATTTTAAGATATATGGCTTGAACAAAACGTTGCAATTCATTTTTTTTTTATAAGTATGTAACTTCCATAAACATTTTTAGTATGAATTTATAATTAATTAATATTAATAGTAATAGCTATGGTATGACAGAATATTACACTTAATTACTGCAAAATAAAATTGTCATTTTCCACATTTAAATAAAAAAAAATGAACGAGAAAAAAATATTAATTGCCCACAATTATTTTAAATTAGTTAAATATGGAGTATAAGTATTGAAAGTCGATTGACTTGTATATTTATTTTTTATGGTGGCCATCCTCAGATTTTTTCAAAAGAAATTTCATGGATTTTCGCTAAAATTATTTTCCATTCTTTTGCTTTTTATTTTTTTATTTTTTTGGTTGCCATCATATGATGAAACAACTGACTAGAAATTCAAACAATCTTATCCAAAGACCTCATATATATTGACATTAAAATGAACTCCGGTTTCAACTGAGAGAGCATGTGATGGCTGAGTCATAATTTTCATTATCAGGCTCAAAATCCAACCCCAAATCTATCCAAATGATGTGTGGTTGCTTGCCGTAATAAAAGAAAATTATATGATCCAAATATCTGATAAATAAATATAACTAGTAGCTCTCCAAAACGCGAATTACGCTTTTCTCACAAGGAAAAAAATTA